CATGCTATCTGCCATAGCTTTTAGAGCCGGTTGGAACATTATAAAAGGAGAATGTGAGGTCTTGAATTAAAATTAATAGTCACAGGAACATTGAACTGTTTTCTTTCGGGGTTTTTTTTATTTGTTTGATTTAAAAACAAAGCATTTCAACTCTTAATTCTCACTAGATTATCTAAGATCACTAAAATAAATAATAATACGCTAAGAAATAGTTTTACGTTTTGGTACCATGTCCACATCTGTGCCAAGTATGATGCTAAAGCCAGATTAAGCTAAGTAGCTTAATTGACTTAACATTGTTCAGTCTTCTCCTAGGCTAAGCTAATTTCCAGTGGGCAGTGAGTGATTCTTAACTTCTCATATAATTCTTTATGATTGCCGTATAAATTTTATTTAACTGAAAGTTTGATATTTTATAGACAAAGCTATTCTGCTCTTTCATGTTATTCCCCGACTTTGTGCAAAGATACGCTAACACTAGGAAATTAGTCTTACTAATCAAATTTGACTCTTCTTCAGTTTAAAATAGTGATTGAAATAATTCAAACCCTAAAAAAATATATTTTGTACACACATTCTGTACACAGGAGAAAGGCTAGAAATATGACTTTCTGCACATTTCAGCATAATTTCAAACAAGGTTCTCCTTTTCTTTTCTTGCATGTTAGGCTTTTCCGCATTGATTAATCTTAAAATTATTAGATAGAAACTGAAAACTGACTGCATTTAAAAAACACTGTAACAGGTTAAATGAACAAGAGTCACCTTGAACTGCAGCTGATATAAAAGTTGCTTCCAGCTGTTTAAGAAGTCTTTCCTTTCAGCTTGTTTGCAAACACAGCAGCATCAAAGAGCAGCAGGATCCATATCAAAATGTCCAAAGTCACATTTATTCATTTTCTTCAGTTATTTTTATCAGCAGTGTAAACAGCACATTGTGTCTGATTAGTCCTTACTAGAGACTATTGTGTCTTTATTGGTTAATTCTTTTCCTTCCACAGCTTCAGCAGCACTTTCTCTTATTAAACCCCAAATTATGATCAATTAAATAAAATAATTACTGAATATTAAAATTAATAGCCTATGATTAACCTTTAATTATAATCTATTAGTAGTTACGTCACACACATCAATCCACCACGAGTCTCACTTCAAGTGGTAGCTATAAATTGGGAGTGCTGTGGTTTATTTATTATATTCTTAAAAGGAGAGTACACGTCAGCCTACTTGGATCATTCATCAAAATGTAAACATAAAGACAAAGAACATCAACAAAATTCAGACAGTTAATTTTTTATGCAAACGGATGGAATGAAATAACGTGAATTCCGTTTTAGGTGGGATTTCTAACAGTCTGAGGACTTGATGCCTTTTAAATGGGTTATTTTAACAGTGAAATGCCATTTTTGAGGACAGTTTTCTTTCTTTCTTTCTTTTTTACTGAGGCTCTCTGACTGTTTCATTTACACCAGGAATCCATTGTTGTTGTTATTCTTGGTGTCTTGAGCTGCATGTACATTTTAATATTTTCTCTCTCTTTCAAGAGGCATTGCCTGAGTCTGTATAGAGAGAAACGGACACTTAATTCACACACATGTGTGAGGAATGGAGAGATAATCAGTGTCTATAATTTCATTAGTTCCACAGTATTTACTTCTCACACTCTTTCACACAAACACGCACACACTTGCGCTTAGACTGTCCTTATGTACGGCACAAACACAAACAAGCCCATTACCATAATCACCACTGTAATGAGAAAATAGGGCGAGAGCAATCCAGGGCTCTTTAACAGTTGTTCAACAAGTGAGAGAATCAACACTGCTTATGAAAAATGAGACACAGTTACTTAATCGAGTGCCTGAACAAAAACCTTCTTCTACTGTGCTTTGAATACCGGCTGACTGTTTTACTTACTCTTATTGCTTTCTCTTAAATCTTTTTGTCTTTCTGTGTGTTTTTGTGTTTGTGCTTAATAAAGGGAAAACATGAGTGTGGGGTTGAAGGGCAGCGGTTTACCAGTTTATCACACTGGTGAGATGATTGCCCGATGAGTAACAACCAACTCACTGCCTTCACTCACAGTATGCCTTCATATTTGTTTTGGGTATTTCAAATACCTGAGAGATGGAAACTGAAACATTACAAAAGGTTTTTCCAAATATCTGGATTTTAGAGATTTTTTGGATTTTTTTTTAAAGTTTTCAGCAACAATGGGAAAAATGGCTCAGGTCTTACATTATCTTGCTGTCGAGATTTTATCCTGAAATACGCCATGAAAATATACAACAATAGCTTTTGTTGGAGTACAACTGGTGTCTTTAAGGGGCTCTCTGGCAATTTTGTTTGAAATAAGCAGAACTTGCTTTATGTTATAGAAAAGCCTATCAAGCTGCATAATGGGAAATTTAGGATTCGGCATTGGGGCGTGATCCAGACTAGGGATGCATGGCTGTTCTGCAGAGAAATATTTCATGCATGGTTTTCAGTCGTCTATCTGATCTCCGATGGAACAGATATGCTTCTGTTTTAATCAGTTCAGCTTTCTGCTTAGAAGGCAGTTTGTGTTTCATTTGTATTGCACATTTGGTGGCCAGAAAGGTGTGTTTGTACTTTGAGTGTATTTTCTTCCATTTCACGCACATAAATAAAATCATTGTGAATGAGGCTCTGAGTGAAGCCAGCACCTCCATGCTGTGTAGAGCAGCTATTGTGCTGCTTATGTTATGCCTCCTGTGTTGACATAGTTTAAAGTCAGGATATGTCAGCCTCTGCTGACTGAATTTCACCCATTTAAGTGGAATATGAAATTGCTGCAGTACCCCTTTAGAGGGAATAATTGTTGAGCCATTAAAAAGACTGAACGTCTCTCAGTTCTGTGTGCTGACAGCCTGATGAGAGCACTTCTGCTAATTCAGCCAAAGGAAAGCTCCACAGATTAGAGGCAGATTAGATTTTTTTCAGGACTGTTTGGTCAAAGAAGCCAATCAACACAAAGTAAATGACATTTACTCTTTAAGGTAAAAAATAGTTGCACTAAAATATAATTACCAGCCTTGTTAAAAAGAACCCTGACTAGTTCAGCTTGTGGCTGCTGTTTCTAAAGCACGCTGTCAAAACACATAGTTTGCTTTTATTGATTTAAAAACTGAGTCGGTCCAAATTTCTAACAAACCAGAGGTTTAAAAATTGTCACAGTGTGCTGCTTTTGTTTGCAATTTCCAGTTAAAAAAACAGTGAAGGCTTTACAGCTTTCCTGTTGGAGAGGAGGAAGGTGGTAGGAAAAAGACACTCTGCAAAAGACCCGCAATTAGGTTATAGGAACGTATCTCTTTTTGCACTTGAAGCAAAAGGTGCTCAGAAATATTATTGGTTATTAAAGGATGACTGAAGGCACCAGTAAACCTTGCACATTGGTCACTGACTAATATGACTAATTGAAGTATTTTCTGGAAGTAAAACTGAAAGTCAGACTAATCTGCAGTGTTTAATCTATACATGTTTTCATAGTCAGGGTTCCTTTAATTTTTAAGCAAAAATACAATCTCGAAGGTGACCTAGCATGTTGTTCCCCATGTATCCCCATCAACTATTATGCTGTTTAAAGTTTCACATTATTAAGTATGTGCACAAAGTTCTTGTGAGCCAAAAGCTCAGGCTAATAATCCAGAGTCCAATCACAATGCAGACGTTAAAATTGGTCCCCTTTTAGGTCCATTCAGTGGTTTTTCTAATTGTAAACACTCCCCATGATCTTTATCAGGAGATACAAGTCTGCATAATGCATTTATTTTTCTTGTATCCTAATTGAATTTAGTTTTCCTAATACAGAGCGTTTTTATTGTTTTCAAAACAGATCAAAGGTCAACTTGTGGCTTCTCAGAGGCTTTAATCGCGTCTCTTTTCAGGTGCCATACTGTACAGTTCCATACTGTACAGTACTGTTCAGTCTTTTACGAAAACTGAAGGAGAAAAATTAAACATTTTAGGCATTTAATCATTTGTCCAAGTTCAGTCGTGAGCTCAAATATTCATTTTGATGAAAAATAAACAAAAGCTATTGTTGACTAAAAATAAACTTGCAGACAAAGTTGACAACTGATAACCAAAACTTATCTCTGTAAATAAAAACTCAGTAACTGGGCTTTTTTTTTTTTCTTCGTCAGAAGTTTCACAGATGCATGTTTTATGTCGTCTCACGTGGGGCCACGTCCCCGTTTTAGCACCTTTAAACACTGCAAAAACATTCGGAAACTGAGACTCGCTGATGTCACGAAGCCATAAAGTCACTTTGTGTTGTCGTTTCTGATGAAATTGTTGTTAAGATGATGATGTCATGGAAACAAAAGATGAATAGTGTTTGGTATTTTAGATGGAAGTGAATCCACAGACAAAACAATAAAGAAAATGCATGAAACCGAACCAGATTGTGAGCCTTTTGTGTTTGTGGTGCGAGGGCCGCCGGGAGACATGAAACACTGGAACGGCACAACAACGGAAGGCGCACACAACAACAAGTCAACACGCATACACATGCGGAGACATATGGAAGGATTCTGAACTCTGATCACACATCTCGGCAGGTTTAACGATTATTCGCGGAGCTCGGCTGTCGGAAGCCCACCTCCACCCCTCCCCCTGCTTCATCCTCCCCTCCCCCCACCCACTCTCTGCTCTGCTGTCACTAAAATAGCTTTAAGGTGTGTTTAGGTTGGACTTTAACCCCTCCGCCTGTTTCGTCTCCTTGGCAACCGTCCAGAGTTCCCTTAATTTGTATCATCTCAATCCCAAGTGCTGCAGCAGTTTTGCCTATTTGCCCCTAATCATGGAGCCTGTTTCCATGGCAAAGTATTTAAATATGCTCTGCAGATCATCTTCATGTAACACACCACCAGTGGAAGATGTACATGCGTGTTTGTGTGCATTTCTTTTGTTCCTAAAAGTGACCCCCCCAACCTCGTGGATCACATCTGACGTGGTTTTTAAATTTCATTTTCCAAACATCATCGCTTCTCTTCTTCCATTCTATCCCTCTAATTCCACAGGGAGGGATCTCCTGTTTTCTATTTCATGCTTTCCTTAAAGAGAGGGGGCTTTGTCTCTTATCTTATCAGTGAAGCTTCACGGCTCCCAAAAGCTTTGGCCATGTTTAGAGAGGAAGTGCACGCAGCATACTGATAAGAAAGGCCTGTCACTGCACATATAGCTGTGAGAAATTAAAAAAAAAAAAAGGTGTATGAAGAAAGAGGGGGGCACAGATACACAAAGCGTGGATTTTGCCTGTTTTAATTGCTCTACAATGGCACTTTTGGGAGTTTGTGTATGTGTGTTTGAGTCAATGCATGGATGCCTGAGTGCGCTGGGGGAGTTATATAATAGGTATATTCATCTGCTAAATAAAAATTTCAGCAGCCATCACTCTTCCGCTATAAGCTCCAGCTCAAGGATGAGACGATATAGGCAGAAAGGTTAGACATAAACATCACCCCGATACTGGCTGCTTCTTATTCAAATCAGCTGATTCTAAGACCTGCCAGCCAGGAGAGAAAACACGAGTCTGAGAGGAACCGAATTCACACAGACATTTGTCCATTTTTGGAATTAAATGATGAAACCTGAAGATACTAAATGTATTGTTGGGTGGAGGCTTACATTAGAGCTTCACCAGGAGAGAGTCCAGTGTGATCTTGTCATTGCAAAAGCAACCGCAGGGTATTCAAATGAAATAGATAGGGCAGGAAACTCTTAGATACACTGAGGGTATATATTTATCAGGGGGGGCCTCTGGGGCTGTTTCCCATTTGTCATCACGTTCATGAACAGCATTTGATGTCAAAATAAAACTTCCTTGCGAAAAACACAAAACCCCGTAATCATTCAACTCGACTATGTTTAATCCCAAAAAACAAAAAAAAGTTGAATAATATTCAAAATATCACTTTATTCTCTGGATACTTTGCTTTACCACACATGGTAAAATAAGTCACTGACTGCGAGAATGTTGGTTCCAGGAGCTTTTATTAAAAAGTCACTGCATCAACCTGCATGCCCATGCTTTTCAAATACACTTAGAGTCTGTGAGAATCAGTTTGAGTCTATTAATGTTCATAGTGTTGCTATAGCCTGTATATAAACGATGGCCCAAGCCACCGGAAAACCCACTGTGAAGCCTCGGGCTTATCATTTTTGCTATTACTGTCTTGTTGTTTTGAAACCAAATGTGAGTGGTAATGCTGTATGCTCACTGGTTTAGCCTCCTTTTTCACCTTAACAGCAACCATACCTACAAAACCAGCGTCGTGTTTTACTCAGTAAGACTTCAAACTAGGGACACGGATCATGAACTCTTCAGAAAAGGGTTGTGAGGTCACAGATCACGTGAACCAACAAGTCATTTTTATCAAACTATACAATTAGATGCAAGAGTCACCCTCTACTGCAGGGGTCTCAAACTCGCGGCCCGCGGGCCATTTGCGGCCCATGTCACCTCTACTTGCGGCCCGCATATTGATGTGAAGAAATATTTTTTTAATTATTATTATATGAAAAATTATTTAATACGACGGCAGAGTGTTACAGGCATAGCCCTTTAAGACTGTAGCCTGATGGGCGGTGTAGTCCTTGCTGCAGGGAGAACGTGTGGGACCGCCCCTCCTGCTGTGTGTGTGTGAGCGTGAGGGAGGGAGAAAAAGGAGAAAAGTACGAGGTGCTACCGAGCAGAAATTAAAAAGAAATTAAGACTCGACTGTACACTGTGTTCGTGTTTTCCTCCGAAACAATAAAGTTCTGCTGGAGCAGCCTTTCAACGCCTCTTTCTGTCTGTCGCTAGCAAAGTTGACCCAGACAGTAAAGCTAGTTCCCGGCTACGAGCCCGACACGGAACCCAAAGTATTAGCCAGAGGTCTCCTTACCACGGGTCAGAGCCGCGGACCTGACCGAGGTAACAAGAGAGTGCAAACATGTTGAGGGGTTGGCTGTGTTAGTTCAGTGAGAGATTTATTTGGAAAGAAAACAGTTTTCACTTACAGTCAAAAGCTTATTTTGTTAAATACAAACAAAATTGTAGCAAAAGTGCTGCCACGTGTCTGGCCTGAAAGAGCTGTTTATTTGGTAGTTGAATGAAACTACTGTACTATACTGCTGTCTTCTGCTCGTCAAATACATTTCATTGTAATGTTGACAAATGAAACTGAAACTGAAAGGCTTCAGATAGTTGAGAGTGAGAAAAAAAATTGCGTTCATGTTTGCAATTTTGTCTTGTTACACAATATTTGGAATTAAATAAAACAAACAAAACACTACATTTTAGGAAATATTAGTGGGTGTTTCCGTGTTTTTTGTTTTGTTCTACTTGGACACTAAAGTGGCCTCCAATGAGATGACGGTGCCAGAAGTGGCCCGCGGCTCATTTGAGTTTGAGACCCCTGCTCTACTGAAAAAAAAATGCATGATTTTGTGGGTCAATGACACAGGAGGAAAAATAAGACTCCTTGTAACTAGAAACCCAGTTGCACCCATTCAATTACAAACTAATGGCAAAATGTCTTTGTCATTCAGTTTTATCGCTGTGTTGACACAACAAGGTCACTTTGAAGATGGAAAAGTTTGCAAACCTGGTACGGGTCTTTGAAGTAACCATTTGAAAGGCAACAAGATCACAACTTCATTGCAGGTGTTTGCAAGACTTTTATTCATTCTGCAGTTTTTACCAACTGCTTTCCCTAGTCTGACTGTAGTATAAGCCTTGGCTTCCTTTTTCACACCCAGAAGCTATGCTGATGTTTTATATACAGTCTGTGAGTGTTGCATAGATGTCTACAGACAACAAATGGACCTTCTGTATTTTTATTTTCCAGTATGGTGTAAAAAGTAGTACATGCCTTAACGCTGATGATGAGCATACTTTGTATGCAAAG